GGGGGGGGGGTCGTGTCGCCCTTTTGAATGCTCTGCGACTTGCCCTTTATCCACTTGGAGACGAGGCCTCCGTTGCGGAGGAAGCTGAGCACGGCGCGGCGCGGTGCGGTATGGCATTGAGGGATCGCGCATCGGCGTCGAGTCGCCGTAGAGTGGACTGTACCCCCGGGCTGGTCCTGGTAAGTACATTAGGTGATGCTGAGCAAATCCGACGATGGGCGACCGCGATAAATGTGCGCGGCCGAATGGGTGCGTGTCTGCGTGTGGCTGCGGGCCTGCGCCAAGCCCGCGGCCCTTCTCGACTCGCGCTGGAACAACTGGGGTGGGATCAGGGGACATATTGGGGGGGCACTGGTCGGCAGAGTCAGGATGTTGGTGATAGTCAGTTTCGGGCACAGTGGCGCCCCAGAAGCTGCGCGGACCTAGAGACGGGAGGGGTCTGGAACGTCGCATGGCAGGAGAACGCCATTGGACGGACGATCATCGCAAGCACTGCGTCACACACCGAGTCGCTGAGGCCGCACGGGGTGAGGAGGATTGGGCCAGACGGCTGGACGATCCACGCACTCGTGCATCATCGCGAGCGTGGGTCAAGCAATGGTACGGATTGGGCGGACAACTGGGCCGGCCGACTGATCTGTGGAGAGAATGAATGAAAGGCCAGATTGGAGCGCCAGCCTGAGACATGGGGCACGCGTGATCAGTACAGGGCGCAGCAGGCGTTCGTCCAGGGCAGCAAGGTTGCACGCCGCCAGGAATGTGCAAGTTGACTCGAGCAGGGAAAGGGTGGCGCGCCTTGTTCCCCGTTATAAGCAATGGGTGCCGCAACAGCGTTCAGGCCGGGAGCTCTCGGCGCCATATGTCCGACTTCTTCAAGTTGATCTCATATCGCAACATCCGCCGTGCTCGAGGGAAGAAGATGCGAACCGAGAGCCGGGTAAAGGCCGGACGCCTTCGTGCGACCCTCACGCGCGCGGTGGACGCCGGAATGAACGTCGAACCGCGCTGCAGACGTGGAGGTGGAGTCCATCTTGCGAGAAATATATCCCCTCGCGTGGCGGGCAACGTGGCTGAGGTGGGGTGGGCGGGGCAGGTGCAGGTGCAGTATACCCGTACGGGGCGTGCGTGGAAGAGCACCCGGCCCCGCGAACGCTCGGTGCAATGGCAGTCGTCCACCCCACTCCTGGAACAGAGTTGAGCGACGCGGCTGAGCAGATAGAGTTCCCCCGGCCCGCGCCCGATGTCCCGTCGGAGCGCATAGACACTGAGATCCACCCGTCGGCGCGCGCATCGAGAGCCAACCCCGCGCACGCTGCGAGTGGCCCCTTCTCGGGCTACCCTATCATTCGGCCTGTGCAGAGCGCACACGGCGGGAGTCAGCGCGACCGCAACCTGTGCAGACGAAGACGAAGAGGGCCACGAACCTCCGAACGCCCCGCCACTGTGTCTTTGCTGGCCGCGCGCCGTCTTGTCGAGTGTGGTGGGCTGACCGCGGACGGCCTGATTAAAGCGTTCGATGGCGAGATCCTGCAGGCCCGTCTCGTCTCGGGCGCCGTCTCCCCGCAGATGCACATGCAGCCTCCATGTGACGCCGGCCGGTTCTGCGGAATGGAAGGGAAAGGGTGTCTCATTAAGGACCCCTCGGGCATCTGGACCCTGGCAGAGTCCGTTTGGAGCCGTCGTCAAGGAGGACCGACGGTGTGATCCTGCTGCACAAGTCAGGGTCACTTGACTCGACGAGCGGACACGGCGAGGACGGAGCTGAAAACGGGGAGAAAGAGGGCTGATAACTGCCAGCAGCGCGCAGAGACGGCGCGTCGGGGGCCCACACGCCGAAACCTCGGTAGGGTCAGAGACGAGCTAACGGGAGAGGTCGCGAGCGGCGTGCTCGGGCATGTCGTTCGCAGCCAGAAGAGAACGCAGCAGCGTCCAACTCGGCGCCCCAGATGGATGTGCGCGATCCCGGCTCCAGGAACAGCAGCATGTGCTATGAGCCTGCGACTCGCACGCGCCTCCTCGGTGCGACGCCATCCGGACTGAGCACAACGGGACAGCCTCATCGAGAGCACACACACAGCCATGCGCGTCGTCGAGTCGCTCGCTCGCGGATTACAGCGAGCTCGGGGTGCGCACGACCGTACGGCCGTGCAAGAGCGCAGACGATGGCTTAAAGCACCTTGCAGCTCATGGCATCACGTGCGCACACAGGGCCGCCGCCCGCACAAGGCGACTCTGTCCCCGCAGCGCGGGTCGCTGCCCGCGAAGTCGATGCTCGGCGTGCGCTCCCACAGTCCCGCACAGAAGCTGACGTCAAATTCGCATTCGCAGCCGTCGTCCAGATCGTATCACGTAAAACACACAAAAAAATACTGCAGATAGACACACATCGATGGGATCGCGCGTGAGATATCGGACATAGAGGGGAAGACGCGGCGCGACGCACCATAGCGGTTCCAGGGCTCGACGCTGGTGTACATAATGGGGGATATTCGATGGAAGGGAGAAGAGACAGAGTCATCGTGGCGAATCGTACAACCGGGGTGCCACCGAACAGAGCATCCACGTAGAAGATGGGAGACAGATAACGAGACTGGCCCGGACCCCTTGGGGAGCGGGCATGTGGTGTTACAACAACAACAACAACAGCAGCAACAATAACAACAACAACAACAACAACAACAAAATAACTTTGGTGGGGCGACGCGAGCGCAGAGAGTTGAGTCTCCAACGCCGCTCCCAGAGCAGTGTGCCCGTCGCAGAGTTGAATCTTCCGAGGCGAACGTAGCGTCTAGAGGCGAAATAACGGGGGAACACGTCCTGCAAAATGAGTCATAATCCGCGGAAAAAACCGACCTTCCATCTGGACGCTGGACGTAAGCCGCCGCGGTCAGTCGTAGTAAAGCCCGTGGCCCTGACGGCAGTCCAAGTCCTGCAGGCCCTGCGCATAGTACTGCAAACCTTGCCAGTCCGTCGGGTCGCTCCAATGGCACGAATACGTCGCTGGGGCGGCGACCGCCACGCCCGTGCCAGGCCACTCTGCGAACGCGGCAGCGGCAGCGGCGGCCTCAAATGCATCGCGCATGACAACTGCATCCGCCGGGGGCACAATCAGCGGGGGAACGAGCGACGTCGAGTCCCCGGCCCAGCCCTTCAGCGATGAGTACGATGACCGGAAGAGATCGCTCGGCACGCCCTGTGCTGCGATCCTCGTGAGGTCGGCCAGGTCTGCGCAGCAGTCGCCGTCGTCGAGCGCGAGGGGAACGGCGGGCGGGGGCGAGTGCGCCGGGCTGGGGAAGCCCTCTGTGTCTGGGACGAACGCGGGAAGCGGAGGGCTCCAGCAGTCCGCCGATACGGTGCTGGGACCAAAACCCTGTGCCGGGAGAATGTGCAGGGCGGACGTCAGCTGCGCACGGGCGGGAAAGCCTGTGTCAAACAACTCAACGGTAGGCTGGTGCCACTGCTCGGTGCTGCCACCGAAGGACACAAAGTCTCTGGGGCTGCAGAATCCCGGAAGCGAGGGATGCGTGCTGGGCACGTTGTCCCCAGCATCCACACGTGGTGTATCCTCGTGTCTGCGGGGAGGCGAGAGAAGGCTGCCTGCAAAGAGCGACGCGGCTGCGAACGGGGCGGTGGTGTCGACAGAGTACCGACGTCCGGCGGAGATGTATGCGCTCGAATCATCGAAATAGGCGATGCTGTTGCGCGTGTGCGATGCGGGGGCAGACGAGGAGCGCTTGAACATGGCAGTCAAGGGCACGTTGAAGCGGGCGTCGCTGACGCGTCCGGGAGCCCTGGCCGGGGTGCCGCCCCCATCAACAGGCTTGTGTGGGAGAAGAGAGTCACTCTCCGTGGGCTTCGGCGGGCCAACCTCGACAGTAGGCTCAGTCTGGGCGGCCCGCGACCCAACATTCGCGTCCTGGAGCTCTCCGGGGGTTGGAGTAGCCGCCTCCGGAGGAACGCTGCCCTCTTCTTTGACCTGACTGGCCTCCTTCGCGACGCTATCGTATTCCTTGACGGCGGCCTCGAGGTCCGAGCCCGTCTTGCCCTCGACGAGGAGAGCAGCGATCCTGGCGCACCTTTTTTCGCGACTGCGCACCTCCTTCTCTGCCTCGCCTCTCCCCTTCCTATTGGCACGCCGCTTGGGCCCGTCTTTGACCTTTGCGAGCGCGTTTGCGCTGGGTCTGAACCGCCAGTCTGGGTACTTCTTGCGGTGCTCGGCCTGGGCGACAATCGCCCGTGCCTCCCAGACCTCTCTCTCCTCCCTCGGGAGGGACTTCCAGTATTTACCTGAATATAAAACACATCAGACAGCAGCGTGCTGGCTGTGCGGCGGCAACATACCGATGATCTTTGAGAGAGCGCTGTGATTCCCCTCGATCTTGCCCGGGATATGCTGTGCGCGGATGAAGGAGGACCTGAACAGGATAAATGCGTTCGGCGGGCGGGGAATGTACGACGCATCACGTTTCTTCGCGTGCGAGACACGGGTGGCCCCGAGGGCTGGGGATGCGGGCGGCGAGGAGACGAGTAGGTCGGCGGCGCCGTCGGTGGGCAGTTCGTACGCGGTAGGGTCGGAGCTGAACGAGATGGGGTTCATGTCTGTCGCAAACGTGATCGTCATGGCGGGGGCGTCGACGAGGGGGGGCATGCCGTCTGCGCCCCATGGTGGTCGATACCAAGTGAGCACAGCGCGCCAAATGTGGTAAGCGGCTCACATACCGTCGTCGTCGGGCCCTTCGCTGAACACACTGTTGATGAACGGCTCGGTCATGGTTCGGGCGCGATGGATGGTAATGGTAAGTTGAAAGAGGAGGAGGAGGAGGAGGAGAAGGAGAAAGAGAAAGAGAAAGAGAGGGAAGCAAGGCGTCTGGGGCAGACGGACCTTGAAGCGCCGATGCTGCAGATGTGCTCTGCCTTATTCTCTTCTAGGCAGGTTTGTTCTGAAATCAGCTTTCGAGTCGGGATCTTTTCTCAGGTTCACTTCCTCCGCTCGGGCCTCGCCCGCAATTTGGCTTTTTGCCTGCGCTGGGCGGCGAGTCATTCGTCATCCTCGCCCAAGGAGACGCGCGACGTTGGCAACGCCCACGACGCCTGCGACTCGGCGACGGCGCAGCACGAAGCGAACAACACCCGTTCCTGCCATATGTTTCACGGACCATGGGGTCACCAGCTCATGTCGACGAGAGATGATGATTTCTTTCCCCCCTCGGACAGCGGCCCAGAGGCTGTGCGCGCAGGGCGCGACGGCATGGACAAGGAGCGATATGGCATCTCTACCGTTCATGTCCGCAAATGGCTTTCGCCGGATGCACCACCACCGCCTTGTGGAGTCGTCTGACCGAGTTCCGTCCAAGCGAGGAACAATCCGCCCCGGCGACACATCTCATCACGTCGCCTCCTGGCTGGCTTTATCTTGCAGGCGGTGCTCGATGGAGGAGGAGTCTGCTTCACGTTGCTGAACGCGCGAGGCGGAGGAAAAGTGAGTCCCCGAACACCGCATTGCCATGAGGCCTACCCCCAGTGAGAGCTGTAAGAGCAGGCCGGCGCCATGCAAGGCATGGAGGCTGCAGACTCATCAACATCATTCTGAGCGCCGAGGAAAGCCAAAAGTTGTTACAAACCTTGTTCAAATCAGCCCATCAAGACTGGTATACTAAGGCTGGACACGGAACACGATCAGACCATTGTTCGCGGAGGTATGCGAAGGTTCCGAGCATCCAACACTGCCATCCCATGCGTTCATCTTTTTGGAAGCCATGGATGGTCCTTGCGATGCCAGTGCACTCACTACCGCAGCCAGCTGATTCCAACACTGATTCACTCCGTCGAACCGCTCGTGGAGCTTGCTGCACGCTGCATTGCGTCTGCAGCTTTGCCGCAACGAGCAGCCTGCAAGCGAATTCCGGCCCGTGCACACAGCAGGCGCTGGTCGCGATACGGTACACCCTTCCGACTTTGTTTGATCAGTCCTGTTTTTATTATTATTATTATTTTTCCTACGCGCCTGTCCAGAATAACACAACGGCAAAGCACACGACGATTCGCAGTGGTCATCCGAGTGAGTCATGTCCCGCCTCGTGGTCGTGCAGAATGCGTCATACGCACCGCCCGCTGGTCTGTCTGAGCAGCTGCCCGTCCTCAATCTCCCGCTGGCCGCGACAGCTGTCTCTCCAATCTTACGACACCTGGCTCCTTCATGCGGCGACGTTGCTCGTGTCGGTCCGGCCTACTGTGCCTGCCCCCAGTCTGCGGAATCCTCCCTCGCCTGCTCTCTCCTTCTTCCGCCGCCGTCCGAGGGCACTCCGTAAGCCGCAAGTACGCGCCGTCCTTCGCCATTTCCTGATTCCCGCCCAGGGTACGCGCCCCACGGAAGCCATCTGCTCGCTGTCGTAGCGCTCTTCCCCGTCTGCAGCCGCCTGGCATCTACCCGCAGACACGGATGGCATGGTGGCGGAAGCACTGCTCGTCTCCGAGCCCGCCGTAGAAGCTAGATACCATGGCTTCGTTCGTGCGCTCGCCCCTTCCCGGATGGTCCCCATCGCGCGCGTGACAAGTCTCGTCACCCGCCGTTCCCACCCTTTCTGTGTGTTGCGCATGGACATCGCCCCCGTAATGCCTTGCGTGGTCCGCCTCCCTGGTTTACCGCGTCCTCGGGGCATCATCTCACACGTCAGCACCTGCCCGCGAACGCGGGCGTCTGCGTCTGCCTGGCGCCAGCGGCACGACAAATTCGGGGACTCAGTTCAGCTGCAGCGCCTGTGGCGTCGTCGCCGGGCGAGGCGACTCTCCCTCGCCGTCCGTCTCTGCTCTGCGCGCCGCATCTGCAAATGTGTGCAGACGCCCAGCGGAGTTGCGGACCGAGATGCCGCGGTCATGTGCTGCAAAGCGTCACGCGGCTGGACGCCCGATATGCGAGTTGCCTGCGAGCGCTGCCAACTCGTCCTGGGCCCGCCCGTCGTGTTCCTCTTTGACTTTGACGTCCGTCGCCCACCTGCCGAGCGCCACGGACGACGCGGGGCGCGTGCCGTGCGCAGGTGATGCCCTCGTGTCCCCCACCACCAGGCGCCGTTGCACGCTGACCCTCGGTGCATTACGGAGGCGAGCACACGACGCTGAGAAGGCTGACACCGCGCAACTGCTCCCGCCACTACCACTAGCCCCCGCCCAGCTGTCCGCTGCCAATCTCTGGAGATCCGGCGCCGCGCTGGATCTCGGGCTATCACCAGGCATGACCGCTGCACGCCCGGTCCGAATAGCACACCTGTGCTTTTTCTGTGGATTTAGTTCCGTGTTTTGTTTTTTTTTTGTTTTTTTTTGACGCGGAATGATGGGTATCTAGACCGCCGCGCCCAGGCCTGCACGAATGCAGGATGGGGCGCACCTGAATCTGCGGTCCAGAACGCGCGAGAATGCACCCCCGCTTCGCGTCCGCCGGCTACTATACCGTCCTTGCGAATCTCGGGCCCCTCTTTCCGTCTGCGCTGACAAGGCCAGCTGCTTTGGGAACCCCGCGCGGGCCAATCGCGGTGCGGGGTATGTCATCCGGGGCCAGCGCGAGGTCAGCTGCTCCGAGATGTGCCGTGCGCGTCATGGGAAGCCACATGTGGAAGAGAACGCTCGGAGACGAAGTATAATCCTACATCGGAGAGAGACGACGCGAGCTAAATATGCACCGAAATAGACGAAGCCGCGCCGCGCCACACACACCACACTACACCACACCACACCACACCACACCACACCACGCCACGCTACGCTACGGCCGCGTCCTCGACGGCGGTTATGGAGCACCCATGAAGAGCATGAAGCCGTCCCCGTCCGGCGCGGGCTCCAGCCCCCGGAAGAACACGCGGTCGCCGAGGTAGTCGATGCGGCGGAGGCCGTCGTCGTCGCCGGGGATGCGCCCCGCGACCATGCTGCGCACGCGCGCCCAGTACGCGCGGAACACCTGCGGGCGGCGGTCGAGCGCGAGCGCGTCGACCTCCTCGCGCGTCATGCGCTCCTCAAAGTTGGCGATGCACGCGTTGAGCACGTCGCGCACGAGCACGGGCAGCGCGGGGTGGTGCGGCATGACCGTGATCGGCCACGGGAACACGGGGAAGGTGTCGTCCGCGAGCGCGGTGATGCGCACGCTCGCGACGGGCGGGTGCGTCGCGGGCTGCGAGCCGTTGGGCCCGTCGGAGTAGAACGGGATGCGCAGCGGCTCCTCGCCCGGCGCGAGCGGCGGCAGCTCCCCGAGGTAGACGAGGCACTGGTGCACGCGCAGGTCGAACAGGATCGGCGGCCGCCCGGTCGCGCGGTGGCGCAGGAACGGGTTCAGCTGCAGCTCGGCTGGCGGGACGTGGTGGACGGGCTGCCGGGGCGTGTCCCAGAGGGCGGGCCGCGGCGGCAGGGAGGGGTGCTCGATGCGCGGGACCCAGTTCTCCGGCCGCGGACTGCCATGCTCGTCCGTGAGGCTGCGGAAGACGGCCTCGACCTCTCTGCGAGTGAGATCCCTGGGGACGGATGGCGGTGCTTGAGCGGGGTCGCGGATTGCGGTGAGCCCAGGGCGGGAGAGAGGATGAGAGAGGGGGCCCACGTACTAGCGTTTCGTACGATCACGCCGTTGACGGACGGCCGCGCCCAGTATCCATACGCTCGCCACTCTGCTGGAGTGACCTGGTGCCTGCCGCCGCACAGAGCCGGCCAGTCGCATGTGTCCTGTGGCGAGTCCCTCTCCCTGCGTCTTCCGCCTAGAGGGGACCATGGGCGTTACATCAGCGGGGTCAAGTGGCTGGAGACAATGCGACAGTGCACAGACCGAACAAACTCTGCCGGAACGAGGAGAGCCACGATCGGAACGATCGCCGCCGCTTGAACGGGTCGTCGTCCCCGTGCCGCTTTCTCTTCTCGTACGAGCTCGAGCTCTGCGCAGAAGGGATGACCGGCTCCTCTTTCGACTCGGCGGACGGCAGCGGGAAGGGGTCCACATTCGGCGAGGGAACCCACCGGCGGCCAGTGTCGACTCGGTGCGCAAGATCTGATACATTCTCCGGCCAGGTTGCAAACTGCGGCCCTAGCATGTCGAGGCGCCTCTGATGGACGTTATGGCCCGAGTCGCGAGCGGTGGGTGCGGATGCGGATGCGGGTGCGGGTGCGGGGGGAGGAGATCAAGGACTACGCAAGCCACTCGCGCACGAGGAGGGGTGCCTCGAGGCCCGTGTGCAGTCTCCCGCCGGAAATCAGCCTCAATCAGTGGCATCCACTCGCAGTGGGAACGGGGAGACCTCCCTGCGTGCCGCAGACCGCCGGCATCCGGTGCCAGAAGAGGCAGCTGTTGTGCACATGTTGGTCGATGTGGGCGCCCTTGATTGCGCTCAACGATTCAGGAGACATGGCCGCTGCAGATTGGCGAATTTGAGCATAGGAACCCGGAGCAGGGCCAGCCAAGCCACTCCGACTCGCAAAAATGCCCGGGGACGCGGGCGCTTGCTCTGGGTCCGCAAAGTCGAGGCGAACGGATACACGTGGATATGACGCGCCTGTGGCGTGACAATTCACTAGTGTATTGATTGGGAAGCGGCCGACATATATATCTGAACGTTGATTACCGACGAGCTATACGATAGAACGAGTGACCTGCGTATTATCCATCATGAAGCACCCGTATAGACTAGCACGATCCGATTATTCTGCCAGTGTAGGCATATTAGAGTAGACATTACCGGCACACCCCAGAATTGCGCGTTGCATGATCTTGACGAGAGTAGCCGGACAGCACTAAGTTTTGCACTCGTCGTCCGCTGTGTGTTCCAGCTCTTCCTCCTCCTCCTCCTCCTCCTTGGCCCCTCTCTTCTCCTTCAGCCATTCCTTCAGGACACATTCCCCGTCGCCCTTGGCCCCTTTTGCGCCTTTGCACCCCTTGCATCTCCGCCCGTGTCCCACCATCAAGACATGGAGGCCGTATTTGAGGTCGTCCGGTATCCGCAGGTCCAGGTGCGCCTGGGCCGTGATCCTATCTGCCCTGCTCGGCACCCAGCCCAGGAGCTTCGACAGCCGGAAGACATGGGTGTCCACCGGAAACGACGAGCGGCCCAGAGAGAACAGCAGCACGCACGACGCCGTCTTCGGCCCGACGCCATCGTACGACACGAGCTCCCTCATCGCCTCCTCGTCCGACGCGCCCCCCGCCTCCGTCTTCCCCTCCCCGTCGCCCCGGCTGCCGCCCGCGAGGTGCTGCAGCGAGTACGCCCCGTGCCGCGCATACACCTCCCGCAGGATCTTCTGTATCACCGCCGCCTTCCTGTTCGCGAG